GCCTTCAGAAGGAAAAAATAGAATTTACTATAGAAATCGATTGCTTGGAGATTTAATGTTGCATGCACAAAGTATGCAATTCAAGCTGTAAAATTAAAATAACATTTCATGCAATAGTATACGGCTCAGTTCAATTTACTCGAGAGCTATTTTTCATAGTTATCCTCTGCGTACATGTTCGTTGTCAGTCGTTCCCGGAATCGACCGAAAACTCGAAATACCGTTAGTCCATACTCGCAGATTCAGAATCCCGACGTTCCGATTAGCCGCATCTAGCCTGGGTTCATGGATAACAAAAGGTCCATCCCGGCTTGCTCAGAGGTCAATATCTGTTAGTTTTTTACAGAACTTTGACAAATGGGTAATTGAACGTAAACGCTTCAAAGTGTGCGAGTAATTATCTTAATGGGCGGTTCCAAAAAAATCAGAGTTAGGGCGCCGAGAGACTCTAGTTGTCGCTCTATAGGTATACTATTTGTTGATTGATTAAAGAACTCTAAGATCAACTACTGTGTCTAAACATTTTGAAAGGCTCCGGACGACAGATTTTCGTGAGAATTTTCTAAAAGTTTAACACAATTTCACATTAAAGGGCGGCCCTAGGCCCCGAGACCACCCTATAAATTCACCCATGATCACATGATTAATAATTGCAAAAACATCTCGCGGAAAGTGGTTCTTGTTTTGGTCTGTCGCACTAAAACAAACGCTCTTCTCTATGTGTCTCCGTTGAACAAATGACTATGATATGAATTATGTGCATCCAGACAAACCGTACCACATCGTTCGGAAGTTAAAGGGTTAAATAAATATCGTCAAGGCCTAAGCGTTTCATACCTTTGTCGCCTTGATAAGAGTATATATATTAATACTTTTCCATTACTTTCATAGTAAAAAGCTTATGAACAATCTTTGTGAACAAAAAAATTAAAACCTTTTTAATGAATGTTAGAAAAACGTTTTATTATAATATCACAGGTAACCCAGGCTCTGTGATAGTACCACAGTACGGTTCCAGTAAAATTACAGTGTTTGTATGGGGTAAAAATATCATCCTAAAATTTCTAGGAAATACTAAATAAAGATCAATAAAACTTACTCTGCAGTTAATTGTTGTTGTCCTTATTGCTCCAACGAAGTTTCGT